GGGACGCCTCGTATACATTGAGATACGTGCACATAAATACAGTTACAAAAATGCAACAGAATTGTGCAGCTTAAAAATAACCCAAAAATCAGAAATCTGACTTTTTTTTCACGGGAGTCCTTTAAACGACCCAACCTCCTGCATTGCTCCTACCTCCGTGGAGGCGCTGTTCGTTACCCCCTTTTTAATAAGGGAGCAATTACAATCGGGAACGCTATACGTAATTGCTTTGTTATCTGAACGATTTAATAATTTTATTTATCCACGCCCGGGTATTTTTTTGTGGTCACTTTGTTGAAAAATTGTGTTTAATTAGGCTTTTTGGGGTCTTTATCGGGGTCGTTCTGGGCTTTATTGTGATCCAAAGATACTTAGAACGAGACTTTGTGTGTGTGTTTTGTGTTGTGTATTTGACTGGGAGAAATGAGTGGGGGTTTAAAGGGGGTAACTTGAAGACGAAAAGGGTAATAAAAGCAAATTAAGGTGATAGAGCACCATTACAGAGCCTCTGAAATGACTACACTTACCCAGGGGAGTTTGCAAGGTTGACCAAAAATCCGACCCCGTCACTTGGGGTCTGATCATACCAACTCCTGAGCTGCGAATAAATTTTACCCCTAACTTTCTAATCTTTCATTACACTTATTTTGTTTCCTGAAAAATCTTACCTCCCCTACTCCTAATTTAAAAATTGTAATTTTGCCCGGTCCGTTTGTCTGAAAAATTTAACACTATGCCTTTCCTTTGTCTTCTACGAGAAAAACATGTCCCCAAACAGGGGAGTGAATAAGCTAGTACCAATAGTCTTTTGATCAGCTGTCAACCAAGATTTTTCAACACCCCCCCTACTAAGGGGATAATCAATAACCCCTATTACTTCTAGGCATCACTTTGAGAGTATCCCTAATGCCTGTGACCACGGGCCAAGGATAAGATAATTCCCCCAGGTCAGTTCCTATCACGGGGCTAGGGGGCATACTTTGCACTGCGTCGGCTAGCAAAACAACCTGTTGATCAGACCAACTACCAAGGCCTGGTCTGGGACCAGTGCCGGGGGGCGTACCCTTTCAGTAACCATTACCCCCCCGGGAAACGTCCAAGCTCGGGTGAAATGCAACAAATTGCCGGGAAAAAATGCCTACAAAATTTTTGTACGAGGTTGACCCTATCAAACTAACAAATCTCCAGCATAAAACTTTCCAAAGGCCCATATTTTAACAATGACTGAGTCACTGAAATGTTAACCTTGAAAAACCTATTTTTTTTAGATCAATGAATAGTCACAATTTTTTTTAGTTTAATTTTTAGACAGTGACTAAATCATAGATGGAGTGATTAAATCGAGGTGTTACACTTTATATAAATATTGATATTTACAGTAATAAGGCCTCAAATTCGCAGCAGTGGCAGTACGAAGGTGATTTGGGGGGGGGGAGGAAATTACATTCTTAAATGTGTGAAGATATGGCAGATTTTATACTGTAATGTGGGGAAGTTCCTGGAAGTTTGGAAAGGTTTGGTGACCAGTGGTGTAAAAGTTAGGGAGAGTTCCCAATGCAGATGGCAGGTACAGGAAAGCAGGACTGCTGGCAGGTCATGCGAGCCTGAAGAAGGAAACCAGGTGA